GTACCACCAATGGGATGCAGGTGCCTTAAGCAGTGGCTTAAACCACTTCTCCAAATTTCCACCCCTGTTTGTGAAATCTTTCATTCTCAATTAGTTTTTCTCAAACTGTGCAAACAAAAGGAATGTCACTATCTTCAAAAGAGACAAGGAGATGCTTTTCTAATTTAAAGGGAAGATTGGCCTCATAGAGAGCGAAGGAAGGAAGAGAGAGAATGAGTGTTGTCACCACCACCTAGGGAAGGAAGCACCCCTTAATGAAAGCCACATTTCTGTTAATAAAATGACATCGACAGCAAGCCTATGGTGATGAGAGCATGCTAATGCATACACAACTTCCTGATAGTCACCCACCTTTAGTACAATAGTGAGACTGACCTAAATAACAGCTCTGTATTTTTTCCACCACTCTGCTCGTTGATATTCTAACACTAAACAATTTTCCAATCCAATGGCTACCAAATATAATTTTCTGTTTAGCTGTAGAATCTTAAAAACAACAGAAAGTTCATTCAAGAAACAAGTTAGATCAGATAACTTGCAGGTAAACCAAGAGTGCTAATGTCTTCCCACAGTAGCTCCAAACCAGGGGTGCACTAGAGCCCTGCCTAACCATCACAGCCAGCAGAGCTAATGCTGAAGAGCCAGAGCTCACTGACTGGCTGACGTGCCCTTTTTATTTAACAGATAGAGCAACCAAGGCCCTGAGGAATGAAGCAACTTCCAAGACCACAGAGGTGGTGACAGAGCTACAAATCTAAGAAAATTATACCTTTGTTTTGCAAAATATAAAGCCACATTTTTATCCTAAGTTCTAATTTCCCTAGCACTTCTAGATTGATTTTATTTCATTTGATGATTACAATGGCCTTGTGGCCCAGATAAAGCAGAAATGCCAAGTATATTCCTGAGAAACTGAGGCTCTGGTGGTAGATTTTGTTCTGAAGTAAACCTCATTGTAAGGGGCAAAGGTGAGCTTAAGCACACAGGTCTTCAACATTCTACCCACTGTGACTTATATAGAAGTTTTCCCCGTTACTATACAAAAAAGTCAAAGAGACTACCACATGCCTTTAAAATATCATACCTTGAAAGTAAAGCATAAAAAGTAAATATTAGCAATTAAGTATTACTATTAAGGAGTACTGTGGTTAAACAATGTAGAACAATGTAAAGAGTTAAATTGAGCTAAAATTCTCAACTATTGGCTTGGTTCAAAATAAACATCTTGCTAATTTATCTTGAATCTTTTATGGCTTTTACAGAATTTAAACATTGAGAGCGTTAAACAACTTTATCAAGTGTCAGACTTTCACAGTTGGTCATTGTTCCTGGTTTCCATTTGTGTTAACGAAAGGGAGAAACAAAACTCCTGAGTCAGAATTAATCTTAGCTGTCATCAGTCTGCACTCCTAGGAAAGCCATGGCCAATGGTGTCGGTGATGGGAGAAGTGAATTTCCCTGCAGCCTGCTCCATGCATTCTCTTCCCTACTGTGCATCCCTGCTCTCCACTAATTTGATCCGGAGCCTTAAATGTGCTCCCTATGGTCTAGAAGTCCAAATTACTCTCCTTGCAAAGGTGAACACAAGCCACTGCAGGCTCTCCATCCTTTACTGTCTGAGATCATTCTCCTGAGGGTGCAGCTCATCTTTCAGAGAGTTAAACTTTTGCTTTTGCACAGCTAGACAGAAACCACGAGAGAAAAGATTATGGCCACACCATATGTCTGTCTTCATAAATGTATGTGTGTGTGCATGCCTGCACGTGTATATTTTCTCAATGAGAGGGGAGTAGATTTTCTCTTTTCAAGGAGAAAGATTCTCCCCTCCCCTCAGGTTTCTAACTGCTCAGTGCTTGCTGATTAATTTAAATCTATACACAACTGGGTCTCTTATTAATGATTCTGCCAGGTTTCTAGAACATAGCAGGATTAACCTGCTCTGAATACAAACTGTTCTTTCTTAAAGGGGCCACTGCCTTGTAATATTAACCTGAGGGAAAACAAAGCAGGACAATACCATTGTTTGTACATGGTGAGTACCACAAATTGTTTCCTGTACAGTTTACAGTTGTCCAATGGAAGCTAAAGTAACAAAGTCCCCCAGCACAGTGATGGTCAGCCATCAGTGGAGCAGACTTGGAGATTCCATAACTTCGCAGCTGAGGATCAGGGGACATCCCAAACTCCAGCTAAAGTAATTGGACAGACTCTCAAAGAGGTGAGTTGAAGTTGAAATGAAATTGCCATTTAGTTAACACAGTTCTAAGTAATTCCACGAAACCACATTTGAAAAGACATCATGTGAATAGCAGGAGGTTTATTAGTTTAACAGAAATTAAAAGCAAAGTAACACGGACAAGCTTTGGCATTACCTGAGAGAACTCGAGTTCAGTAAGACTCGTATCATGCTGGGTGAGAGGACTCAAAGCCTCCTTCATGTTTTTACATCATGAAACTCACTCCAGATCCAATTATAGACATACTGCACCACAGCTTCCCATAAGGCTTGCTTCAAGGAAGATGACACATGGTGTCAGATCCTCACTTGCACTGTGGGTTAGGTATAACTGAATCTGGTGAATGTGTGTTGACATTAGTTCCACCATTCAGTGTACTCTTTGTTCAAAGTGTTGGGAACTGCAGAGTGGGGGACTATAGTCTGGTATTCCATGCACATCTGACTACCCTTCCCTAAAGCATAGATTCACTCTATTGCACAGAAAGTCTCCAATTTATTATGGTTTGACATATGCTTTTTTTTTCACTTAAAATGGTATAAAAGAGGTAGGGATTTGATAGAAACTATACTTTGAATTTTGAGCTTTTCCCAGACTAGCGTTGAATGGTATCGCATACTCCGATGACACTGAGAAATTCCCAGTCAGCTATGGTATCACGGGAGTAAACATCCATCCTCTACAGTGTGCTGTGCTGCTAAGCTATGACATTAAGTAGGTTAAGAATATTAAATGCATTTCCAATTTGTGATATTTTCAACTTACCATGAGTTTGTCAGGATGTAATTCCATAAATTGACAGGCATCTGTATTATAGGCCTTCTGTGAATCATCACAAAAGGTACAACCTCTTTCAACATCTTCACCTTGCAGAATGGTGGTGAGGATTAAATGAGGAAAAATGGCTCATTGCAAGGGCTCAGTAATTCTTAGTTATTATCTTATACAAAGCCTCCTCCATCGCCCTTTACACAGCACAAGGACTTCAAAAAGCATTCTATTTAATTGATAGCCTAGTTTCTGAGACTTCAAATAAAGGGCATTTGGATGACACACATTATGACCAGAGAGATGTTCTGGCTTTTCTAATGTTACATGAAAGCCACAAATAAAGTTGCAGATCCACAAGTCTCCACAGATATATAATTCATTTGACTATCTCAAAACTTCATACAAGGGCAATCAGTACCCTCACAAAGGTGGAAAAGAGACTTTTCCGGCATATAATACACAGCAGGAAAGACATACAAGTGAATAATGATTCTTTTTCCTCTATGCTTCCTATAGGATGATTTGTGTTATCATTTCATTGTGATGAGTATTGCAAGGGAGTTGTGGACTACATTTTGAAAGGAATAGTAAGATCAATTTTTACAGCATGCATGTAGTCTAATGAAATAGTAAGCTTCTAGTTATTAAAGAAATAGAGAATAAGGCTGGAAGAAAGGACCTTGAATGTTTTCACCATTAAAAAAAAGATTTGAAGAGACAGATATGTTTACCCTGATTTGGTCATTACACAGTTATACATGTGCATTCAAACATCACACAGTACCTCATAACGGCCTGTATGCACAAGTCTTACATACCAGTTAAACAATAAAAAGAAAAAAAGAGGAGAAAAGGCAAGTCAAGAAAATTTAATTTTTTAAGGAAGGGAAAATATGAGGGGGAAAGTATTTCTTCTTGGTTGCTAGGTATTCTCTTTGTTGCTATTCTAGAATTGAAAACGTCAACCCAAGAAATGGCATACTATAAAATGCTACATGGATAGCAGGTTTGGGAGCTGTCCAGCTCTCGGTGTTCCCACTAATATACTGTGCGGTCCCCAGAGCGGAGATTTCCTCTGAATCCAGGATTTAACTGAATGTCTCCACGGCAAGCCTGAAGTGCAATTCCAGGAATCAGGTTTGGCCTTCGTCCTAGTGCTTTAACAAGATTCTAATAAGAACTACAGCCTGTCAGCCAAGCACACTCAAAGACCGGCATGATCATAGTATCTTCCAGTAAAGCAAAGCTGCCCAGGAAAGAGTATTTCAGACTTTATAAGAAAGCTGAAAATGTAGTAAAATATGAGAAGACAGGGCAGGGAGGAGGAGGGGAATAAGGGTCAGGAGCACAAAGTAATTTTAAAATACTACACGTTCACCAAACTCATATTTTAAAAAAATGAATGAACCTGGAGAGCAGGAACACACAGTCCCAACAAGCATATTCCAACACTTCTAAAGTCAAACCTTTTGATAGCCTCATTATATGAATAGTGTAAAAACTTACACTAAATGACAGATTCTGCTTACTAGTATTGGTCTGATGGAAGCAACTGACCCTGTCTCCAAGTGCTTTTCCAAATAAGAGACTTATCCTAACTTTCCAGGTCTCCGTCTCTGAGAAACACTGCTGGACGTTTGTCCTCCCCTTTATCCAGGGATTTTTTTTAATTAAATTTCTAATATGTTTCCACCAGAGGGCAGTAAATAAAAGATAAATAAACAAACAACCTGTTCACTTAATACACTTGTTCCTAAATTCAGGTATAAACAAACAAACTTTACCTTCTTATTAACCTACATTATAGATTTCACTGTTAAAAATCTTTATTTTCTCACCTCTCCTGGATTTCTCTAAACATTCTCATTCTCCATCATTAGAAGTGTGTCCCATAAACATAGCGCAGAATGAAACAAGGGAGGCAGTTTTCATACAATGAAAAACGTTCCTTCGCCGTAAAAAGTGTCTCCTCTACATTCGCACAGGGCCTACCTCGGTATGCAATCGCATCTCTGCTGGTCAAGGGGCTGGGTGGGCTCCACTGACTGTTTCATTGTTGTAAGGGCAGACACTGGCAGGAGGCCGCAGGAGTACTCCAACAAGAGCTGTGCATTCCAAACAGGAATCCTGCAAGAAAAAGGAAAGGACAGGGTTGCCATCCAGTGGTCATCCAGTGGCCTTGCGTCCTGGGAGCTCCTCAGTTACCACGGCTATGCTTCCTCTGATAGTGCAGGAATGCAGTGTGCAAGCTCTGGACCTGGATATTAACCAGGGCCAAAATAAATCAGCATTCAAATCTGAGCAAACCTCGACCACAGAGCCCACTTCTCTAAACTGCGAGATGAGAATAAAGGTGGCTCAGCTGAGCAAGGGAATGGAAGCTAACTTGAAAGACCATGTGGCTCATGTGGTTCTAAGTGTAGCTGACTCTCAGAATCAACTTGGCCATCTTTTAAACACAGATTCCTGGGGCAACCAATGCCTTCTGAGTTATAGCTTCCAGGGATAAGGCTCAAGAATTGGTATCTCTGAAAATATTTATGGGCGATTTCTGCAGCAAGTCTGATTTAGTCCAAGGACCGGTCTGTGAATTCATTCTATCTTTAGGCAAGATGTGCTTTACCTATCCTAGCTCCAGTAGTCTGACTTTATAGTCTTTAAATATCCATTTTTGTCAACCCTTCTAGTGTCCCAAAAACCATACCATAAGATAATTCTCTATGCTGGTCTGAATCTGAGCTCTATTGCATACCAGCTGTCCAAACTAACCTTCCAATATCTCAATGTCATATTCAGGTGGGATAGCACAGTACATACTTACCCTATAGATTTATTGGGAAAACTGAAGTGCTTGAAGTAGTACCTGTTGCTTAGCAGGCATCAAATGTGTTATCATTTATAATTAATTGCTTCCAGCTATTCTTTTCGCTTATATTCATTTGCTTGGTCCCAACAAATATAGTGATCACTTAGGACTTGACACATACCTAGCCTTCTTATCTGTCTGTCCAACCTCCCAGGTCTGTGCAGCCCTTGTGGTTACTGATAAATTTTAGCCATAGAATCAGTGCCTCTACTTTCTGAGTAATACTGACCAAAATAGGCACTTTAGTGCTCAGTAGGTAGATACTGAATGGATAGAAACATTTCTGTGGACCTACTATGTGCTCATCGCTGAAGAAGGCATATTATATACATTATTTCATTTGATTTTAACAATACTCCAAGGTAGGTATTAAGTTCCCCAGTTTACAAAGGAGAAAATTAAGTCCTTAAGAGGTAAAAGTATAAGGGGTACACTTCTTTAGGTGGATCCAGAAGCTAGAAAATGAATTGCTCCACGTGATAAGCTCAGAGTCTAGCCATTTTCCCATTCTTCACTGCTGCTAGAGGTCTGGAGTATGCACCTGGAGGCCCTGCCCAGCATTCAGATCCCCATTAACACAGGATGGGGTATCTTGTCTAATACCCACAGGTCCCTCCTTAGGAAGTCATTACCTACAACTGTTGGTATTCACAAATGCACTACCATGATAGAATAGTAATCGTGACCTCAAATATCACTCATTGCATTGGCCCCTCATGGCAATATTTCAGCCTCAAATGCGCACTGACTGGTGGAAGCAAACTCACATTTCCCAATCATCATAGTTACCATACACACAACTACAGGCTGCCTTTCCCATAAAGACCAATTCACAATTGCCTGTTTTACCGGCAATTTATTCTTTGCTGTTCCAATTTTTCTTATTTCTTACTGTCTTAAGTCACTGTGACCCGAGTCTGTTCTATTCATGATATTACCAGGATTCTGTGAAGATAAATGCATTTGCAGAAACCCATGCAAATCCCACCAGCATACTGAGTGGAAGGATATGAATCAGGATGAGGGCAAACACACAGCATAACAAAATTGGAAAAAAAAGAAATCCTTTTATCAAATTCTTATAAAGTACCCAAGCTCATTTTCTTCAAAATTACTAATAGCTAATCAGCTGATATCTCTAACCTAACCATGTATTTTATACAAGTTGCTAGGCCAGGCATCATGGGTTAGATGAAGATCACCAAGAGATAACCATTGCTCAAAGGAAATATATTTTGAGATATAAGGACACAACATTAAGCTTTATCATTAACACATGGTAATTAATGTTAAATCCTACTGTGATGAAGAATTTAATAGAGGAATTGTCACAGCCTGCAGTGGTCAGAGGAAGATGTGTGGAAAAAAATATCTCTTGTACTGAGCAATGTAGATGAATAGAAATAACTGAAGCGGCTGGGGGAAGACTCACCAGAATTCGCCTATGAAAAGGTCAAAACTCATCTATAGGAGTTGGAGGCCCTCAAGTACACTTATGGAAGGCATTGAGGCTGGACTATGACCAACGTGGAATGCAGAGTTGAGGAGTCCAGAGTTATTCCTACAGACAAGAGGATTTCTGTGCAACTTCTGAGGAAGGGAAGGTATGGCACAAGTGTATTTTGCAGAAATTAATGTTGCAAGAGCTAACAGGAAACTAAAAGGGCCTGGAGATAAAAGTGGTCTAGTTTAACATATTAGTTTGTTCTTTGGGGGCATAAATAGAAAGCAAATGTTGAAAGGATATACTAAACTAAAATATGTAAAACAGGTGGATTTTTTTAAAGCTCTTCTCAGACCTTTAAGATAAACCTCCCAAAGAGAGAGAAAAATAGTATTTCTCAAACTTAGTTGAACAGTGAACTACTTTTCCACTCTACAGCTCAAGGACTAGCACACTGAGATACATACTTTTTGATGACTGAGGAGGACTTTGAACCAGAGAAGAAACCAAGTAACTTAAGTTGACATTTTAGAAAAGACTTCTACACATCCCATTCTGATTGGCTGTGAGGATTAACAAAGAAGGCAGAAATGGCAGACAACTATATCCATCTATTTGTTCACTCTACCTGTCTTGATGTCATCCTCTCCTCTTTTTCCTAGACCACACATCTAACAACATTCAAAGAGATATCCAGAACCTGACTACTTCTCACCACCATCTGGGCTACTTAAGAAAAACACCATTTTTTTAAAAATTTGTTTGCCAGGCAGAGTTAGACAGTGAGAGAATTATAGATAGTGAGAGAGAGACAGAGAGAAAGGTCTTCCCTCCATTGGTTCAACTTCCCTAATGGCCATAGTTGTTCTAAGTGGTTTCTTCTTTCACCTTTGTGCCATGTTTTTTTTTTTTTCCTTTAACAAAGAAGCCAGCATGATCATTTTAGAAATTAACTAGATCTTATCAGTCCTCTGCTCAAAACTCTGCAATGGCTCCCAGATCAGTCAGAGTAGAAGACAAAGTCCTAAGAATGACTTCAAGACCAATGTGTCTTCTCCCCTTATTAATGTCACCTTTTTGATTTTACTTCCAGCCATTTGTCCTCCATTTAGTCTATACCAGGCACTGGGTCCCTATCCTCCTTCTTGAACACCCCAGCCACACCCCTGGAACAGGGATATTGGCTTATTCTTCCCTCTTCTGGAATTCTCTCCTCCTAAATAACACTGCACAGTAATACCCATCAGGTCACAGCTCAAATATCACTTTAATGGGATTTGCATGACCAACCCCTTTGAAAGAATATTGACCCTCTTCCTTAAACATGCCCTCTTCTCATTCTCCTATTATTTTTCTCTCTAGTACTTACTACCATCTAGAAGATCATCTATTTTTTATTTGTTATTTTTCTATTGTCTGTCCCCTGGCCAGAGAACTAGATGTTCCAATAGGACAACCTACTTCCCTCTCCTTATCTCTATAGCCTAGCATACATGAGGTACCATATGTGTTGAGCTAGTTGATTAAGTAATTTCCTATAGCAATGATGCCATGAGTAGTTTAGAAAAGTCATTATCTATATTTTATAAAGAAATTGTGAGTCAGGATGACTTGTAATTTATTCAACAGTGGAAGTTAATAGCTATTTAATTTACCATTTACTAATTTTCAGATTAGAAAATAGGTCTCAATTTTTTCAACTGTACAACAGCATAAGGCTACAGAAGCAGTTAAAAATATGGCTTTAAATGAATCAAGATGGACAAAGGTACAGAACCCAGCATGTTTCCTTTTTGAAAAAAAGTTGTTTATATTTAGAGCTAATCAATATAAAAGTTTAAATTCTATACATTGTACCAAGGAAAGAAATGAAATGGAGATAAACACACAGAAAAGCATAAACATACAAGTGGGCCGGCGCCACGGCTCACTTGGCTAATCCTCAGCCTGTGGCACCAGTACCCCAGGTTCTAGTTCCGGTTCGGGTGCTGGATTCTGTCCAGGTTGCTCCTCTTCCAGTCCAGCTCTCTGCTGTGGCCCCGGGAAAGCAGTGGAGGATGGCCCAAGTGCTTGGGCCCTGTACCCACATGAGAGACCAGGAGGAAGCACCTGGCTCCTGGCTTCAGATCGGCGCAGTGCACTGGCCGTAGCAGCCATTAGGGGAGTGAACCTATGCTATTAGGAACCCCTATGCTATTAAAGGCATCTTAGCAGGGGCTTTTGCTGGCCTAGGGAAGGGGTAATACCTATGCTGGAAAACATGAGGTAGCCAAATTAGATGATGAAATGGAAACTGAAAAAATGATATTTCTTACATCACATATTAGAAACCATCACCACCACCACCACCACCACTACCACCACCACCGTGGAGTCAAGCACTCCAGTCAACCATACCAGGCACCCTTGCATCCCAGCTTATCCATCAAGACCTATGATGTGAGCAATACTGGAGAAGAGTCACTGTGGTCTTTTCCACTAGAGGGCACAGTATCTGTGAACTAAATTGGACTAGCCCCTTCCCAAGACATCCAGGTATCTCTGCAGGAATAGGAATTCTGTACACAGTGGGCTAAGAATAACTAGAGCTATTTTAGCTTATCACTGCACTGACCTGGCGCCCAGAAGTATTAAAGAAGCTGATTTTCCAAGGGAAATATTGGGGAATGGAAAAGAGGTATGAGAACAGAGAAAATAAAAGCTCAGTTCCAGAGATTTAGGGTGGTTGTTCTGGAGAAGATAGCTATTCTAGACCAACATCTCTCAAGCTTTAGTGTGTATCAGAATCAACAAGGGGACTTGTAAACAACACCCAGT